AGCTGGCCATCCCTGCCAGTACTGAGCTGGTCAGGAGAGGGCGTCTAGGGATCCAAGGGAGAGCCCTCCCTTCTGACCAGCATTCCACAGCCTCCGTTTGGAACTGCTAGTATCCTGCCTTCCTTTCCTCAACCCTCATTAACAAATTCTTCTTTTGGTCTGATTTAATCTTTCCTGATGATTTTTTTTTTAACACACCTTCATCTGCCCGTGAACAACTTATCTCAGCTTGAGCCTTAAGAAGGGCTAACTTTGGAGGAAAAGTCAGCTCTTTTGAGGCTGCGATGGGAACCCCGGGTCAAAGAGCTCTGAATTGAGGGGAAAGGGATTGCCCTCTAAGATCCCCTTCGAGGATAATTTTGGTGGCTTATGCCTTCCAGGAGGACGCGATTGAGGCCTGGGGCTGGAAACAGCTTTTATCGCTCAGTCACTCACTTCCACTCCCCATTGCCCCATTGTGGCTGTCACAGCGGCAGGAAAAGAGGATCTCTCTCACACACAGAGACACACCCACACACCCACACACACATCACACGACACTTCCTCCAAGTGGTATTGGGCACTCTCTGAAACTCAGGACCCCTCCCATTGCTCATACACCACCACCCCCGTGCACCCCACCCCCACACCAAGAGAACACCCAGGAGGCCTCAGAGCTGGGGACTGCTGTCCTAAAGGCTTGAAGAGGAAGGAGAGACCCTCAACTAGGGGGGATCAAATTCAGTGTAACCCTGGAAGAGGTGACCTGAAGAAGATGGGGTGGCAGTAGGGGAGACCACAGGCCCGCTGGCATGGCTGCTCTGAATCACAGTCACATGCATATGGGCCTGTCTTCCCACTGGACTGCCTGCCCGGCCTAGCACAGTGCCCATCCCACTGTATGTGCTTGGTGCATGTTTGATAAATGAGTGGCTGAAGCCATGAGTCCCTGAAGCCATTCTCCCCAACCCTTCATTTCCGTCTGCCTCCTCCTCCAAGAGGTACTCCACAGGGGCTTGGGAGAGCCCAGCTCCATAGCTCTTTAGGCTGGGGCACCATCACCCCATGTGGGTTGAGGAGGGGCGTGGAAGAAAAGGGGTGGGGGCAGGAACAGTGCTTGGGCAGACACCGAGACATCTGGATATTCATAAATTGCTCAGGTTGAAATGCATGTGAGTTTGCCAGTCACCCATTCTTACATTGTTCTGAGGCAGACAGAAATGAATTTATTGACTGAGAGGCAAAACTGTGGCCTGGGTCCTGGACTTGGAGAGGCTAGATTCTTGTGACATAAGAACCTCCCTGTGTTCTTCCTCCCACAGCCCAACCCTGGAGCTTAGTGGAGATCAGATACGGAGGCTGGGGGTATCTAGGCTGCAGAGACTCCCCCAGCTTCTGCCTGTGTTCGCTCTCCTGCCCCTAGGTCTCTTGCTATCTTCGTTGCCTGGGACTATTGCCAGGTCTCTGTCTCTCCCTTCCCTAGGAGCCCGGGGCTGCCAGGCTAGGACCTCCCTCTATCTGCCTGAGACGGCTCAGAACTGAGGCTCCTGGAACAACTAGAGAAAGCCCTTGGTTGGGGGAAAATTGTGCTTTCCTGCTCAGTGGAGCAGTGCCCTTCCCACTTTACCCCAGGGGGTTGGGGGCTCCCGAGCTGTTAAATGACAGGGAACCTGAGCTGTCCATGCTTTGGTGTAGAGATGGAACCTGGGAGCAGAGGGGACTGGAAACTTTCCATGGAGAAAGGCTACCTAGTAGCCTAAAAATAGGGAGGTCATCGGGTTCTCCGTAGCAAGCACACTGCTGGTCTAGTGCAGGTCTGGACAACAATGTATGTGGGAGCCTGCTGGGTCCATCTTCATGAAACTAGTCTTCTGGGTTGGTTCTGGGCCAGGGACTGCCCATCTCAAACATAACTCCAAACTTGCACACTTGTTTGGGACAGATAGCAGAATCATATCCCTGAGGCTTTTTGAAGTTTCAAGCAGTGCCTTCCCACGCCCATGGTGAGTGGAATTAGATTTCCAGGCTTTGCTCCCCGCTCACACCTCACAACCTGTTCTAGCCCAGGGACTTTCTTCCCTGAGAGGACAGGCATGAGGGAACTCCAAGCACACCACACACCAAACCTGAAATATAGGAGAGCTTAGATCTCTTGCTCTTGTTTCCAAGCGTCATCGGCCATTCATTCATTCATTCATTCAATGAAATGTGTACCTATACCATTCAGCCAACATCCATAGAAATAATGTGAAATGCTTCTGGTTTAGTCTTTTTGGATTGGAGTATACGTGGGATGATAAAGGCAAGTGGCTTTTATTTAGTATCTTTTTAATGTCCTGGTTCCCTTCCACCATGGGCAAAGGCAGGGCTGCTGAACTCTAAGTCCCTGCAAAGGGTACATAAGTCAGGCTCTGAGAGGACAAGTCAGCTCCAATGTAGAGTCATGAAATGTTGGAGTTGTTGGGACCTTAGGTTTTATCTCACTTCCAGGTGCAAGGATCGCGTCTACCTTAGCATACCATTTGTTGAGCAGCTACTGTGTGCCAGGCAGTGGGTCTGAGATGCGACTGTGCACTCTGTTGTTTGCACTCTGGTGACAGGGAGCCCACTGACTCCTATTGGAAAGAACAGGACTTTTTTTTCTTCCTTGGACTGAGCACAGTTTGCCCCCCTGCCCCTTCCCTCTGTGTCTTTCTCTGCCTGGAGGGGTAATGGTTCACCGTTCTTGCAAAGGAGTTCTCCTGGCTTAGCCTCAGCTGGAGCCATCTCCAACCAGTGCCCTGATGTGGGCTGAGGCCCAGGTTGACTGTATGCCCTTGAAGGAAGTGGTGGGACTTGGGGCTCCCTAAAAATGGAGTTGCTACAGCCTGCTCCCCAGTGAAACAGGCTTTAGTTTTCTTGCTGGACCTGGCTTCTGCAGCTTGTGCTAAGATTAAGAGACTTGTTACTAGAGAGGAGTGGAGGGCACACCCACCAGCCAATCAGGCCAGGGACACCTGGGGTCTCTTCTCCCCAGCCCTCCATCCGCCTCCTCCCCCAGGCCCCCTCCCCCCACCCCTGCTGCCTCTGTTCTGCCTGTTCACCTCTGCTGCCACTTCTCTTTGTCAGCATTCTTCTTTTGTGGCTCTCTGCTTTCTCTTTCTCTCAGTTTTCTCCTACCCTCTCCTCTAAGAGCAAACAATGCCCATCCAGGCAAGTTGTAGCCTCCATAAACCTCAGTTTTCTCATCTACCAAATGGGAATAATAATAAGACTTTGTGTTGCCGAAAGATTATCATTAAGGGGGACTTAGCATGCATAATACTAGTTTTCACTAAAAAAAAGTTTCTTTTTCCCTTCTTTCCTTTTTTCTCCTATTGAGTTTTGTCTACATTTCCAACTATCACCTCCGTCCTCTTCTTCACAATGTCTCTCAGTGTCTCTGTTCTGTGTCTCTCAGTTCCATCTCCCCTCTCTCCTGTTTTGTCCCGCACCTTCTTTTATTCCCTCCTGGTTGCCTCCCTGCCCACCCCCCACCCCCAATTCCTGCCACAGGCGGCAGGGCCCAGGCTGTGCTGACAGCAAGGGCAGGCAGGCAGGGTGACTGTCTCCACTTCTCATTAGAGCTCCAGGAATGTGTGGAGTCATGAGGGACAATAGGCGCCAGCGGCAGGAAGAATGGGGCCTCTGTTGGGGCAGAAGAAGTTTCCCAAATCTGGCTGAATGGGAGTACCTGAGGGCCGGGGAGGGGTGGAAACTCCTGAAGCTGAGAGGAGGCCACAGGTGGTAGGTGTGGGGGATGGGCAGGGCTCTAGAGTTGGCCACCATGGGAATTCTTAGCATCTGTTGGCATTTCTGGGGAGAGCTTAGACCTCAAAGGTGCCTGCCTCTCTCCCTGGAGTGGCTAAGGAGGAAAGGGATTCTGGGTGACAGAGCAAGGGGAAGCTAAAGAAAAAATGTTCCAGTGGCCCTTATATACCATGGATGTCCCTTGGGTTGCCGGGTCCCAGTTCTCACCACCGGCAAGCTGCAGAAAGGTTGCAGGTGGCCACAGAGGACACTGGAATCGTGGGCATGGCCCCAGCTTGAGGAGGGGGCGTCCTTGGGGTTCTCGTCCAGCAGTGGCCTCTCACTGCCCAGGTGCTCCAGAGTGGAGGGAGCAGGGTTTTCCTTGGGAGAGGAGGCGAAGCTTGGCCTGCTTCCTCTTCCTCCCTATTCCAACTGAGGTTCAGTCTGGCCTGAGACATGATGGCTGTCCCCACCTCCACCCCAGCCAGTCCTTCTGGTCCAGACACACCTGAGAGAGACTGCCCGCTTCCAGAGCTTACTCGAGGCTTGTCTGGTGGGCTGGGTCTAGCAGGCAGGCCAGGGGCTAAGCCCTTTCTGTGCCCAAGGATAGGCAGCTGGGATCGGAGACTATGGCTGGGGATCCATGGGCAGGACTGGGTGAGGGTGGGTGGATGGGCCAGGCTCGAGCTGGTCCGAGGAAGGAAATGGAAGGACAGACAAGTGCTGACCTTGTCCTCCCAGAGCAGGGGAGTGGTGGGAGCAGAATAGGGGGTATGGGTAAGGAGAGGAACCAGGGCTGTGGAGAAGGGGAGGGCGGCCAGGCAGGAGAGGGGGCCTGCAGGGAGCCATCTCAGGTCTCCTGCCAAAAATTAAACCATAAAAAAAAGCTGGAGGGGAGCGGCAGGGGAAGGAAGGAGAGAAAGGAGATGGGGAGGAAGGGAGGGACCAACCGGCCCCTCCGCACCAATAGCCCGGCAGGGGGACGTGAGTAATACATGGCTGGTTCAGAGGGAGTGAGATCAAAAGCCAGTAGATACAAGAGGTTTGTGCTTCACCGACCAGACAGCCCAGAGGCTCAATGAGACCTTTGTTACTCAGGCCCAAGTCAGGGTTGAAGGAATACCTGACCGCCCCGCCTGCCCAGCCCGCCCCCACCCCCACCGTCCTCAGGGCTGGGGGAGGGGCAGGTCACAAGTGAGTCAAGTTGAGTTGGGCACAGCTCAGCCCTGGCCGGTGGTGGGCGGGCAGGGGAGGGAAGAGGCCTGCTCTCTGGCTGGGGCGTGGAGCTTCTGGGGGTGAGTGGAGGAGTGAGTGGCTGCCTGGAAGGCAGGAAGTGGTTCTGCGGGCAATTGTGAGGGAGACTTCGAGGGAGAGGGGGCCTTGTTGAGCCCACCAGGTGAGCAGCCCCTGGGACATCCGCCCCCTGGCCCAGCATCCCTTGGGAGGGAGCTGAGGAATTCTGCGTAGAGTCCATGGCTTTAAGCAGGGCCTGGGTCTGGGGTTCTGGGGGCCCCATGAGAGAGGAAGGAAAGGAGAACCAGAGGGGGCTGGGCTGGGGTGGATGACCCAAAGTTCAGGTGGGAGGCTGCAGGAGGCCTGGTTGTTTGGCCCTTAAGGTTGGGCATGGCTGGAGTGTGTGGAGGGGTGTGCTGTGCTGTGCTGTTGTTGGGGAATGCAGGATTCCTGTCCAGTGAAAGCAGGTTGCTCCAACCAGGGTCGTGCAGAGAGCCAGCAGGCGTAGCCCTGGGGCTGGGAGTAGAGCTGTGGTGAGAACGGCAGCTATTCCCTGGCAGAGGCAGGGCCTGATCTGGGCCTGGGGCCTCTTACCATCCTCTTGGGGACCCCTGGGAGAGGTCTGAGTCCTCTGGTCTTCCCTGAGCCTGGGCTAGCAGGAGCCCTAGAGGCCCACTTCTCTGATGCTGATGCCCGCAGCAGACCCGGCACAGGAGAGGGGATGGGGAATTGGTACTTGTGATTAGAACACACCTTTTCCAGGGCCCTGAGACCTTGGTTCCCCTCAGCTCAGCTCTTCAGTCCAGTCCTGGAGGTGCCTGTCCCGCCCAGGAGAGCCGCAGGGCACTGCGCACCCCTTCCACGGCCTCGTTATGGACTGCTGCAGAGTGAGCTGCCCTCAGCTTGGGGAGGTTTCAGATCCAGCCCTCTTTCTGCCTCCAACCAGGTCTGGAGATGGAGATCTCACTCTCCTCTAAACTATGTAATAATGGGTGTTGTCAGTAACCACCAGAATGGTCTGGGAAGGGTGGCCCAGCCCCCACCCCTGGGGGCACTCAAGAAACCTATTTACCCCTCTAAACAAAGGGCAGGCCCTCATCTCTGCCCTCCTTTGCCCAGACCCTCCTTTGCGCTCTGTGCATCCAGTGGCTGGACGAGAAAGGGTTAAGCTTGCAAGGAGGGAGCCTAACCTGCTCCCCCGCCCCATCCTGGGCACTGGCAGCAGCAGCCATGAAAAGATCCGGCCTCATTCTTTAGGGGAGGGGTAGTTAAGGACCCTGGGCTGGGGGCTGGAAGCTAATTAAGGGAATTTGAGGAGGTCCTTTATGGCGTGGAAGCCACCCCTCCTCATACCCTGGAGTGAGGACCGTTGTGTGAGGCCTTTGTAGGGCAAGAACTGGAAACTCATTACCGGGATGGCTTTAGTGCAGGTGGTGGAGAATGGTGAGAGAATTTAACCTGGGGGGGCCCAGTCCTGGAGGGAGGCAATGTGGGTGGGTCTGGGGTGGGGGGTGCTGAGAAAGGGGAGTGAGGGCTTCTCAGGTGCCCCAGATTCTCGCTTCCCTGTGAGATTCCTGCCGCTGGACCCCTCCACTCTGCTGTGGCCTATGGCTTTTCATTCCTATGTGATTGCTGTCCCAAACTCATGTAGGGCTAAAAGCCATGGGCTACAGTGAGGGGCAAGCTCCTTCTCCTGCAGCAGCTGCACCTCCCACGGGACCAGGTTTGGAGCCAGCCACCAAGGGGCACCAGAAGGAGGCTCTGCTTAGGGGAGGGGCATCAGGGGATGTGGTAACCTGAAATGGGGCTAGGCTGTGTGACCTTGGCCAAGTCACTTCCTCTCTTGCCATGTTTCCTCACTTTGCAAGGAAGAGACTGGGCCGGTTCTTCCAGAGGGAGATTCCCTCTGAGGAAGGAAGGAGACCCTCAGGGTGTGCCAGGCTTTCTGAATTGATTCCTTCCCCCTTGCCAAGTTACTGAGGCCTGGCTCATGGCCAGAGATTTGGGGGCTGGAGTCAAGGGCATCAGGCCACGAAGACTTGGGCCTTTGCTCAGTGCCTCCAGGAAAGCTTCACTCCTTCACTCCTTTCTCCGAGGTCAGCGTGGAATCTGCAGCCTTTTTAGGTGTCAGGAGACCTCTGGGCTCGCTGAGGCTGAAACAGGAGCACTCCATGCTGGCCCCGAGGGGAGAGGAGGTATCTGCAGAGTGAAACTAGGAAGGCAGGAGCTCCCCCTGAGTGGCAGGCTGGACTCCAAGGTCCCTAGCTCCTGGTGTGCTACCCTCTCCAGGATCTGTCCCCCTCCTGCGGTGTGTGAAGGGCACCTGCCCTCTCCCCTCCCCCCCCCACCATCCTGCTTGTCACCCAGCTTGCCTGGCTTCTCCCTATGCCTGTCTCTGCTGTCCCTTTTAAATCAGCCTGACTTTATCCCTACCATGCTGGAAGATTCCAACAGGTAGAAATAAAGCGGGCAATCTGGCTGGGTTGGAATAGGAAGCACCCTTGTGCCCCGACTTCTAGCCACCGCCCCACCCCGTTCCAGTCCCCAGTCTAAGACAGATCACTGAAGAATCATAGAAACTACTAGATTTGGTATTGACAATCAGAAGGCAAGTTTCCTATAATATCTCAGAACCCTTAATTTCGCCAGCCAACATTTACTGGGTACCTCCTGTGTACCCCATGATTCTAACCACCCTATCTGTACAAACTCATTTCATCCTCAAGGCAGTCCTATCTACTATTAGCCTGTTTTACTTATGGGAAGTCTGAGGCACAGGGAGCTAAGAAACTGGCGCAAGTTCATATGGACAGGAAGGAGCAGAAGTGGGATTTGAACCCATGTGGTCTGGTGCCAAAACGTTTGCTCCTGGCACATCATGCTGCATATGGGGAGAACCGACACCAGTGCATGGTAAAGTACTGTGAAAACCAGGGAGTGCTGCAGTCACAGGAGAGGTTGTTCTAATGAGGTCTCTATTGGATGCACGTCCACAAATTGGCCCTGTGGCCCAACTCCAATCGCCCTTTGTCCATCACTGGTTTTCCTTTTCCCACAGGAGGTGGGGAGGAGGGGGGATCAGAACAATAGGAGAAGCAAAGAGAAAGCCCAGGCCAGCTGGTTTTTTGCTGGGGCTGATCCAGGCCACTTCCCCTCCTGCCCCAGCTTAGACGGTGAAAGAAACAAGGCATGAGAATTGGCCAGGGTTTCTTACTTGCCCTCTGGGTTCTCTCGCTCAGAGTTCAGAGATGACTGGCACCTTCCTCCACCTCTCTCATTGTCCAGCTGCCTTAGGCCCAGAGTGAGCCTATCCTATTCCCTGCCCTGCTCGGAGGCTGTTCAGGCACCTGATTTGCTTCCCTTAACTCCTGATCTCCTAGCTGAAAAATCAAGTTACAGCCATGTCCCTTTCCTGCCTCCTGAAACTGGGCCTGTCCCGGGAATCCTGTACAGTTTGTCCCGGTAGGCCCCAGCACTGGGCTGGGCCTGGGAGCAAGGGTACAGAGGAGCCATTCCAGAGATTATACCTCCGTAAAAGCTCCAGCAAGGCAAGGCACTTTGTAGGGATGGCTGAGTAAATGTTTGTTGAAGTGTGAACTGGGAGGAAAGAGGGATGGGGTAAAAGGTGAATTGCCACTAGCAGGGACACAGAGCAAGCCCACAGCTCAGCAACTCTCCCAAGACAGTCCTCACTTTGCTGGGGCTGGGCCTGGGATGCTTCTGAGGTTACAAAGGTGGATCTCCTTTCCATTCTTTGTCTCCTGCCTATTGCCAGTGGGACAGGTGTGGAGAAGATATTCAATTATATATTTCACGTAATTGTGCAACTGCATTGAATAAGCAAGCTGCCCTTATACCCCTTCTCCCGGGAGGATCCACAGATCAGAGGGCTGTGTGTGTCCTGTCCGCTGCCTGAAGACGGCTGAAACTTTATTCCCAGCAATCTAAGTCTTTTTTGTTTGTTTGTTTGTTTGAGTCGGAGTCTCACTCTTTCGCCAGGCTGGAGTGCAGTGGCGGGATCTCTGCTATCTGCAACCTCCGACTCTTTCATGCTGTTCTCCTGCCTCGGCCTCCCAGGTAGCTGGGATTACAGGCATGAGCCACCACACCTCTACTAAAAATTTTTTGTATTTTTAGTAGAGAGGGGGTTTCACCATGTTGGCCAGGATGGTCTCGACCTCCTGACCTCGTGATCCACCCGCCTTGGCCTCCCAGAGTGCTGGGATTACAGGCATGAGCCACTGTGCCTGGAAGTCCTTTTTACAGTTCTCAGAAATACCCAGCATAAGGCCTCCCTTGGGAGAGTGGGCCCATGTTTAACAACACTGAACTCAGATGACTCTCTCTTATTGTATTTGTTCCATTTCTAGTGGAAATAGAGTTTGACTGCTAAGCCCTAGTCCTTTCTAAATATAAAGACTATTGGGGGAAAAACGGTCTCTGTCCCATCTTTCGAAAGTTTGATACTAAAGTTTGACCTTTGCGGTTCATTCTGGCACTGACAGTCTGGCCCACCAGGTTCCCAGCTGCTGCTGCTGCTGCCTGTCACACTGCCCACTCTTAGGGTGGGCCAGCCTCTGCCAAGCCAGGCTGGAAAACCCTGGGTGCAGGCCGCAGAGACATTTTAGGACCATTGCTGTTCTGACTCCTCCAGCTCCCAAGAACCTCAGAACCACTGAGAATGCTTGGCTGCCCTTGCAGTCTGAAAAAGTGGAGGGAGCTTTCTCCATAGGTGGGCAAGGAAGATACAAGTGGGGCTGGCCTGGCAAGCTCGGATCTGTGGCCTCTGCAGGCCATTGGAGGCAGAGAGGGCCTTGGCCTGTGATGCCAGGGAGCTTGCTGAGCCAGAGGCTGGAGCTCAGGCTCAAGCAGGCCAAGAAGGAGTTAACCTCCAAGGAGAATGCCAGCTTCTCCCAGACTGGAGGCCTGTGCCCAGCTCTGCTGCTGCCAACTCTGGGAAGAAGTCCTGGGATCTGTAGTTTGTGCCACCACCCACCCCTGGCCTGCCTGTTTATCAACACCGTCTTGTAGACTACAGTTCCCAGAAACCTGCAGAGGCTAGGCTTTGGGGGAAGGGGTGGGGTAGGAGGCTCCGTGGCGGCCAGAGGGAGAGGGAGAGGGAGGAGGTGGGGAGAGAAAACCCAATTCACCCCCTTCCTTTTTAATTCTTTCTCCTGGTGTGTCTGCTCCACCGCCCGAGCTAATCCCCCAAATCCGGTCTCCTAAGCCGCAGCTGCTTCCCTTCGCAGTGATGAATGGCTCAGGGAGGGAAGGTGAATTCATATTTTAATTACTGAGGCGCGGTGCTAAGGGAGCCGGGGAGGGGGTGGAGGGCTGAGCTTTGTTCTCAAGGCGCCGAGGGCACACCCTCCTTACTGGGTCACTTCTCTTTTGCCCTTTACCTGGGGTGGCGGGTGGCGGGTATTGAAGGTGGGGGTTGCCTTGCTGAGAGCGCCTCTGCTCTCTGCCTTGGGAGATGAGGGGATGGGTCATGGGGGGCTCAATATCCCTTTTCTTGTTTGTCAGAGAATTCCTGGCACGTCCCAACACTTTTAAATAGCTTCCTACCCTTCCACCCCGCTGCCTCCCACTATGATGCCAAAATTCGAGACACCTAGGAGTTTGTGGTCTGCACGCCTGGGGCCCTGGATTTCTCTTTATCTTACTTTCCGGCCTGCTCTGAGTCCCCTCTTTCTCTTGGTTCTTCCACATGTTTATGCTGCCTCTGACTCACTGCCCCATTTTTGCCAGAGGTACAAGGGTTGGAGGACCCTGGGAGAGTATTTGGCACAGAGAGATGTGGGGGTCAGGCCAAGGAAAGAGACCAGCAGGGAGGCCGAGGAACCTCCTAGTGGTGGGGGAGGACACGTGCTCTGTGGATTGGCATCTCTTCTGCTCGGCTCCACAAAGGTGGCTGGGCAGAGCATCGTCTATGTCCCAGACCCCAAACCATCTTGGACCTGAGCTGGGGAAAAGCCAGAGAGGAGGATGGGGAAGAAGCCAGGGCCAACAGCTTGCAGTCAGTTGCAGCCAACTGTGTGATGGCAGGAGGTTTGTCCAGTGTCCTCCCCACCTCTCCATCCTATTCTGGGCTTCTGGGGGCTGTTTTTCCATTCCTTAGTCCCTCCTGGACTATGGGCATGGAAATGGAGTGGGAGGGTGGGAGGGGAGTTCCCGTGATGAGCACTGATGAGCGGGGAGTGGACCCAGGCGCTAGTCCAGACTCCTCCCCCTCAAATAGATGCAGCAAGGGGACCTGACTTCCCCAGGGAGCCTCCAGCTGGTACTGGAGCCCTCTGCCAAGGGTGAGGGGTAAAGACAAGGAAGAGAGTCGACAGGACTCCTGCCTGGGCAAAGCAGAGAGGAGCAGAGACCACAGCCTGGCAGAGGGACTCCCCAGGTACCTGCTGCTGGGGACTCTGAGGGAGGAGTGGGATTCACAGCGGGCAGGGACACAGAAATGGGTTGGAATTCTCTGCCCCATGTCCCCCCACTTCAGGGGCTGGCCCAGCAATCTGTGTGCTGCAGACAAAGCCAAGGCAGCCTCTGGGGCTTGGAGTTGTGCACCTCACAATGAGGACCCTTTTAGAGACCCTGTTAGAGAAGAGGAAGGAGAACCAGAGCCCTTTAAAGCAAAGATCTGAACAGAATAGACAGGCCCCCTTTATTATACTTTCTGCCCTTACATACAAGGCTCCAGGAATCCCACTGAGGCAGCCAACCCTTGAACACCTCTCGGGAGTCAGGCTGCAGCCCCTAGCCCAGCTCTTGGCCGGTTTCATTCGCTCTCCTTTCCTCTGATGTAGGTCCTGGTTCCTCTGACCCTACACCCCACAGAATTTTCTTAAATTCCCCAAAGGACCCTGGGGAAGAATGGTCACTTAAGGGGGCATATCTTGCTGTTTTAAAGGGAAGAGGATCAACGCACCCTGGGGTCAGAGACCCAGAGACCTAGACCTGTTGTGGGGCTGCCACCTGCCTGGCTTGTTTTAGTTGTGAGTTCCTTCCCAGATAAGCCTCGTGCTTGTCAATTTCTAGCCATATATTTTTCAATAATCGTGGGAATGCTTTGTTGATCATACCCTTGACTTACACCCCCAGCAAGAGAAGTGTATGCATGACAATAACTGATTATGAGGAAATCCACCCACCCTCCCTCCCTTTTTCCTGATTAAGTTAGAATTCTGAATGCCTTCCAGCCCCTTAGGTTTGGGGTCTTAGTGTTAAACCTTGCCTAACCTCCTGGTACACTGAAATGAGATAATGAAGGCCCAGAGAGATGTGGCCACTTGCTTAGGATGACATAGCATGTCAGCATCAGAGCCAGGAATAGAACCCAGGCCACCTAAGTCCTAAATTGGATCCGTGTCTCTCTCTAGGTTTGTCACAGGAGGGATCCAGAGATAGCTGCAGTAGATAGATCTAGAAATATAGTAGTTGTGTCTCGGCTCTGTCTATATATATCCTGGAGGTTGCTCTCTGCTAACTATATATACTCAACCAGAGTGGGTGTGTAAATGGTGCTGGAAATCGGGTTATTAAATAACCAGCCTACCTACCCGTGCTGACTCAAGCTGGGACTCCTGCCCATCCAGCTGGCCAGTGGAAATGCATTGCACCTATTAATTACAGCCATTAGCTGTATTACCAGGATGATGAGAGGCTGAAGGAGGGGAGAATCTTGACAGGACTCCATAGGGCACCGTGCTCGGTACGGGCCTCGGTTCTGCGTGGAGAAACACGAAGGAAGTTTTTCCAAAAGGACGAGGTTGGCCAGACCAGTGGAACTGTCCAGAGAGCCACCACCTGGGCCACGCCACATTCCTCAAAGGCAGTGAAATCACTTTGCACGTGTGCCTTGCTAGGGGGCCCAGGGCATTCTATGCAATCCCCATTGCATGAGGGGATGGAGAAGGGAGGCGCCTCATGCTTCCCCATTCCAAACCCCTCCTGCATAGCCCTGTGCCTCTCTCCTTTCCCGCAACACTTGGGCTTCACTCACCTGCCTGCCCCCAGTGTTACTCCTGGAGAGAGGAGTGATTCAGACCAGGCCCGGGCCTGACCTCCATGCAGGGGGCTTTGGTTCCTTTGTTCTCAGCTTCTCTGCTCGAGTGACTTGAATGCACTTCTGCTCCCTTTCAACAGGCCCAGGGGCAGAGGAAGGGCAGAGAGGTGAACTGGAAGAATCTGCAGGTGGCTAAGGCTAGGGAACCTAAATGAGCCTTTGGAGAAAGGGATACTCTTGCAGACTGAAGCTGAGCTCCGGAAGCTCCTTCTCTTCCCCAGCCAGACTGCCACAGATACCAAGTGGCCCCTGGCTCCTGCTGAGGGCCGGGTCAGCCAGAGGTGAGGGACAACGTGTCCAGCTGGGGCAGATCCAGCCTCAGCCTCTACCTCAGACTTACTTAATGTGCTAGGGAAGAAACCATGTCTTTTTGCCCTTTTGTATTTACCTCCCAATCCCTTTGCCCAACTTAGGTGTGCTAAATAAAAGAGCCTGTTGGCTAAAAGAACTCTCTTTGCCGTCTGTTCTCTCCATGAGGAGGACTGGGATTTGCGTGGCTCTGAGCAATAGACAGAAGTGCATGGTCACTCCCTGCAGGAGTTCCTAGGGTATCAGACAACGCGGGGTTGTTCGGGAGGGGAGGAGTCTGACTCAGTCTCAGGTATCAAAGTAAGGCTACCCTGGATGAAGGATGGAGGAGGGCTTGTTGTGTGTGCAGCCTGCAGAAGCGAGGGGACGCCCCCAGATGGAACCTGTGTAAGGTGGCACAAGCCAGAGCCTATTTTAAGCCAGCTTGCTTCCTGTTCTGCAACCACAGGTGTATGGGCATGGGGTGAGGCGGAGCGGGTGGGAGGGGAACAAAGGAGGCAGCAGCTGGGCTTTCTCTTTTCTCCCTTGGACTCACCCAGTCTCCAGTTTGAGGCATGACATCAGCTCCACACAGATCAGGAAACACTGAAGTTTCAAAGAGCTGTTGTTCGGAGGCCCGGCTCCTCCCCAGGCCGGTGTGAGACCTAGCAGGGCCGCCTCAGGGAGTGGCCTGGACTGGGCCAGACCCAGAGGGTTCTGGGAGCATTAACCCCAGCTTGCTTCTCTCTCCCTGCCTTTCTCCTGCCCCTCTCCCTCCCCTACCTTTCCCTGCAGATCTCTGGTGAGTGTTCCCCCAGCCTGGCCTAGGGCATGCCCCAGTTCACTTTCGCCTGCTTCTGTGGTCTCCATGGCTTCTGCAAAATGAAGAGGAAGAAGGAGGAAGTTCACAGAGAGCGGGAGACGGCGGTGTGAGCAGAACCAGGGCGCCTCCATCAGCCCCCAGCAGGTCCCAGGCCTGACGGTGCCCGCTTCTGGCTGGGGCTTGGAGCAGGAAGCCGTGTGTGCATCTTAAGTCTTGATTTAGCTGGTGCTCTTCTCAGCCTGACTCTCACCTGAGGGCATCAGCCTCCCTTGTGCCTCCCAGCCGCCTCATGCCCACACCCAGTAGCTTCCAATTCTCAGACCTCCTTGGAGAGAGGTTCCGGCCACACAGGGGAGCCCCAGGACCTGCGGCATGCCTTCCAGAGATGGAGAAGCCCCAGGGAGGCCAAGGAGCGAAAGTTCTTTCCTGCCCTGAGAGCTTCGGGGGACTTTTGTTAGGGTAACCCGCACGAGGGATGTGCCGCCTTGGGCTAGGAGAGCTGCTGCTAAATGGGAAAGTGGCTGCTCTTGCAGAGAACCGCCAGCAGCCCTGACCCCGGAGAAGGCCTGGGGAGGAAGTGTGAGACAACCGCCCAAGCCCAGGATGGAGACTCTCCTGGGACTCCAGGACCAGGGACATGAGTCCTTTTCCAGCCCCTTCCCAGCATCCTCCTGGGCCAGGTGGGGCCAGGCCTGAGGTGGCCAGCCGAGGGAGGAGGAGGGCAGAGGCGGCCAGTGGCTCTGTGGCTCCCTCTGTTCCTGCCCTCCAGAAAGCAGCCCTGACCCTGGCCCTGACCCACCTGTGATCACGATCACGATCCCTGTGCCTCCTTGGCAGCAGCCCAGATGTGCGGAGGCCTGTTCCCCAGGCCCTGACTCCCCTCCTCAGGGACTTCTTGCTGTGGCCAGACCAAGGGGCTCCTTTCCTGGACTGAGCTGGGTGCCCCCTCCATTCTCCTATCTCCCCTGCCTTTTTCTTCTCTCCTCAGAAGCCATAGAGGGGACTGCGTTCGTGTGTGGTGCCTTCAGGGGAAACTCTTGGGGTAGGGGGATCTCTAGGACGTTCCTTGACTTTCTCCCTCATCTCCCCACCCCCGCCGACCTTCCGGCTTCAGTCTCTGCGCATACCACCAGCCCATTTCCAGGAGACAGAAAGCAAAAGAAAAAAAATATTTCCTTCCCTCTTTCCTTCCTTCTTCCTTCCTCCCTTCCCCCATGTTGGCATAACTTAGCCTTTTGTCTTTGATCCTGGAGTTCTCGGGGCTAGAAGACGAGCAGACAGGAATGCCAGCAGCTGAGATGCTTCGGGCAGATTCTGTAAGCCTGTTCTCCCTCATCAGGGAACTTCTAAGCCAAGGAGCAAAGTCAAATCCCCTCTAGCTCCCCAGTGACAGCGTAGCCCTCTGACAGGTAAACAGGTGACCTGGGTAGAGAGGTCAGGGCCCCAGGACAGGAGTCTGGGCTCCACTTTCCTTGGAATGTGGACCTCACTGGGCAATTAAGGAGAACGAGAGGCTTCTCGGTGGGTTTGCCCAGAACCTCAGAGAAGCAAGGGCATGTTCTACGCCAGCAGCCTCTGCCTGCCCAGCTCATGCCCATACTCAGGGGCCTTTCCTGTGCTTTGGGCAGATTTGGTGGGATCCAGATTGTCTTTATAAGGCTTGAGCACAGCTTGGTTTCCTCCTTTCATCTTCCAACCCCTTCCATTGCCCCTACCTCCCAGCCCCAGCCTTCTACAATCTGTTATTTCCTTTTATATCCAAAGAATTATAAACAGAAGTCCTTCCCTCAAGGGAACAGCAAGATTCAGCAATAAAGGCCAGTGGGGTCACAAAGGACAGGAGACGAACTCCCTGGTGCTTTGTCCTCTTGGATAGGAGAGGCCTTGGCTGAGGCAAAGAGATGGGCAGAAAAGTTACCTTGATACAGAGGCCGGAGAGCCGCCTGGAGGGCATATGTGTCCCTAGCGGTCGCCTGTGAGGCTGCAATCCTAGAGAAGTCACTCCTGTGGCAGAGGATGAAATTGTATCCCCGGAGACTTAGAGGTATTGGGTGTTCTGTCCTGACCACACGGTCTCACCGGGAAGAAAGGTCAGGAAAGTGGAGAACGAACGTCCTGGGAGTAGGTGGCCGAGGAGATCTTCCCCCACGTGCACCTCTCAGAACTTGGCAGGTTTTGCAGCTGCAGGCCTTTGGCAGTGAGCCCATCCAGAAAGCTGCTTCCCCTGGGAGAACTCCCTTGGCTCCAGAGGGATACTGGATATCTTGAGCTCTGGCTTTGGGAACATGGGTGGAGTCCCAAGGTCAAAGTGTTCTGAGTGGAGGTCCAGTTGTCCTCTGCCTCCAAGCCGGTGGCCCCGTCTTCACCCAGGGCTGAGGTTGGGGCCAGCCCTGCAGCTGATCTGAGTAGGAGGTAGCAGCTTCTCGCCAGGTGCACCCCAACCCCACATTCTATTGTCCCACAGTTTCCTCTCAGAGAAATGGGGACTTTGCTCCTTTTAGCATCTCGGAAGGCAGTCTGGACACCTGTGCCCACCTCTATGCCCTTGGTACAGGGAAGGCCAAAGCAGCTCCAACATCCACAGACCCTGTACCCTGGGGCTCTGACTTCTGGCCAGGCTTCTACTCCTTCTGGGGTGGGCCTGGCTGCTTTGCCTTCCCATCCTCTCTCCGGGGTTCTCTCCCAGAGACTCTACCTTGAGGTCGGGGTCCTGCGCTCAGGTGCATGGGCAGATGATTCTGTGGAGGAGATCAGGCCTCTTGTTCTTGCTGTGTAAAACTGATTCTTCCTTGCAGGCAGGTGGGGGGGGGTCTTAGCCTCCCTGGGCCTCAGTTTTCCCCATCTGTAAAGGGGAGGACTTCCCATGCCCATGTTCCCTCTTGGGCTTTAGGCAGTTGAATGGAGTATCAAGAAGTGTGAAGGGTCTTTGTGACATGAGTGTTGTCTGGGACCCTGGCCCACAGGACCCAAGGGGCTTCTTGTCTCAGGTTGAAACCTTTTTATTAGAATGTCATTTCCTTCTCTGCTCCCAGGGAAGGGCTTTTTGAATGTAGCATATGGGTTCATAGAAATATATAGGGAGATTGTTATTTTTAGAAAAAAAAAAAAAGAGCAATAATTAACTAACTGAAATATACATGAAGTAGTAGAGTGGGATGCAAAGAACACTGAGCTGGGAGCCAGGTCTCCTGGGTTCTAGCCCTGCCTGGAAACTAATGACCATGTGACCTTAGTCACATCTTATTTCTGAGACTCAGGTTCCTCAACTATAAATCGGGGATTACGTGAATGTCCTCTTAAGTCCCCCTTGGAGTCCAGGGCTCCCTGAGTCTGGGAAGTTGCGCCTCAGTGGGGCATAGGGTTGTGGAACCAGAGGGTTGCAGGTTTCCTGTGCCCTCACAGATGCATTCTGTGCAGACAGCAAATGTGTGGGGTGGTATGGAGGCTCTGAGAAGTGAGGGGGATGGGGGAGTGAAAGGGAAAGGGAAGTCCCCCGGAGCTTCTGCTAGAATCCTCCCCTAGCCAGGGCCCAGGACCCCCTGCCGCTCTGCCTCTCTTCCCTCCTACAGCCAGGCCCCAGGGGAGTAAGTCTGTTGGCCTGGACTCCTGTCTAACCCATCACAGGCACCACTCTTAGGTACACTCTTGTTTTCTCTCTGTCGCATACACACACCATCACCACCCCACCACCACCTGCAGATAGATGCTCAAGCCATTCTTTATAGATCTCATGGACTCGTGCCCTGCTCCAGTTCCGTAACCCATGGGCTTCTGTTTGCACAGCTTCTCATGTGCCCATCTCCATGCTGATCAACCACCACACCTCATTCCTTGCCTTCTGCAAGGGGAAGTGCCTCAGGCTGGAATATGTCCTGTCTACAGACTGAATGTGCGTTTTGCCTAGTGGTTGGGGATGTGCTGATGGTGGAATGTGCTGGCGATCGTTTCTGGATGGAAAGCCACAGCCCTCCAGTGTTCTGCCATGGCTGACTCCTGACCTTGGCAAATTGCCTCCTCTCTCCCAGCCTTCTCCATAACAGGTGGCAATGAGTCCTATGCCCTCCCTACCTCGCAGGAAGGCACTCATTATAAAGGGCACACTTAGCACATGTGCCCAGATATGCCTGGAACTTTTGGAGACAGATACTTGGTTCACAACCATGAAGATGAGCTTTCGCCAGAGAAGGAATCTTTGGGCTGCTGAGTTCAGTGGGCTCCCTCCAGGCTGGTCCAGGAAGTCTGGTGTTCCTCCTGAAGGTGGCTGCTGTGCCCAGCAGGTGATCAAGCTGACAATACCACAAGAACCAGAATCTGTTCCCAAGGAATGAACGTTCTGTCTCTCTGACCCAAAAGCAAGAACAAGAGAGAGCCGTCGCCACCATCGCCCTGCTCCCAACACAAACACAGCCCCCAAGTCCATGTTGCTGACTAGGGTGTCTGGCTCATCAGAGTGAATCCTGTGGACCCCCAGGCCATCCCTGGAGTAGTCAGTGCCCACTGTGTCGGGGTTGTTGTGGCCAGCCCACCTGGGTTCCCTTCTCTAAGTTTCCATGGGATCAGAGCTATAATCATGAAAAGGAAACAGAAACCGTGGCTCTTCACAGGGGAGCCCAGGAGGTCAGGACCATCCATCAGGAGGGTGAGTGGTGGCTGCCCGGGGCATCCCTGGAGGAAGTTGTCTTGCCAAGGAAGAAACTGCAAAAGCCAAGAGCTCCCGGACCTGAGCAGCTCAGGCGCTGGCAGAAACCCTCGAGTCTGGAGTTCAAAGGTTTTCCTCGTGGCTGCTGGTCTGTCTCTTTCCCTTTTGGGGCAGCCATCTCTCCTCCTTTAGCTCATTCCTGTGTTCCATCCAAGGGGCGGGAGGAAGGCAGGAAGGGGAGATGGCAGGACCCAGACAGATCCTCAGGACTCGCCCAGCCTCTGTTGCCATGGCAACACTGCTATTTTTATCCCGTTGTTCACGATGCTCAAAGCTCTAACTTTTTCTGTTCCAGAGAGGCCAGGCTGGCTTCTGCCCTCATCCTTCAACACAGCATCTTCTCCCAGAGGTCTGAGGATGGGAAAGAGTGATGGAGAAAAGGGGAGCCCACTAGGTCACCCCTCAACCAAGGGGAACTGTTTGATGGGGTTTGTCTCTGCCCTTTTGATCCTTTGGTTTTCTACCTGGCTCAGGCACCCAGGTTCATGTTTTCTAGGAGATCAAAACTCCCCATGGTCTCCCTGAGAGACTGTTCCAGAGAAAAAAGAGCTGCCACTTAGGATGGGTTTTCCTACACAGGTGTGATACTGGGGCCACTTCCCTTCTTGGGAAAATGAGATTTCATTCTGAACAATGTCCTGTTGGTATAAGCTGACCCCTGACCTCTTAAAAGGAGATGGAGAATTAAGTTTGATTAATTAGCAATCAGATTCACTGGGGAATCGAAACCAGCACTTCCCTTTCTTCTGTTCCTCCACCAAAGAACTGGAACAAATGGCTCCATGTCTTTGTCCAGCCTTTCTGCCCAAAGCAAAATAGCACATATTCTCCACGTTGAAAAGCCAGTCTACTCAGATGGCCACATTTCTCTCGAGGTTCTTGAAGACAAGGTCTAATGAAAGGATTTCTGTTCTTTCTCTGTCTGTTCTCTCTGGCCCAGCTTCTAGTCCTTTCTTTATGTCCTCAATCCATGGTAGTGGCAGGAGACCCCTGAGAGTCAATGGTGCTAACATTCCCCACCTATATACCCCTATACCCCTATGTAGTTTATTGAGATTTGGACTCAGCACCCGGGGTGGCTGTGTTGGATGGGTATATTTCACATCCTCAAGACCATGACCCTGGAGACAGGTCTGGATTAACTCTGAAGTAGCAATCTATATCATGCTAAGCTCCTGCACTGAGGTTCTACTTTGGCTGAACTGACTCTTGGATGGTTAATTTTCCTGGGGTGGCTGGGACCCATTTACTAAGCCTCTAATTGGTTTCATTTTGGCTCAAGTTGCGTGGTTTCCCGAATCTATGCACCTGGAGTAAGCACTTTTCTGGTTGCCACTGAAAAGCATGCCAGCAAACGCTGCTCTGTTAATTGCTGTAATAAACAGACTTTATTATATCCTTTTGCAGTAAATGAATTACGTTGTCAGGGTAGATGGGGCATCCATGTTTATTGCACACTGTAATACACTACAGCAGCAGAAGCTAAACATTTGTTTCCATCAACTCTACTGAGAGGAGGGATATTGGAGACTGGGAGGAAGAGTCAGGAGGATGGACATAAAGTGAGGTGTTGGGGCCAAGAAGGAAGCTTTGGGAGACACTCCGGGTCCCTGGAACTCTGTGAGCCTCACTTGTGCTATCTCTAAACTGAAGGAAGCCAGGCCTCCTGCCTCTTACCATCTCAGAAATAATAGTGAGATAAAGCCAGCTAGAGTGGGTAGGTGTGGGGAACAGGGAAGGTGGTTTAGGACTGCAATATGATCACGTAGTCTTTTTTTTTTTTTTTTTTTTTTTTTTTTTTTTTTTTTTTGAGATGGAGTCTCACTGTTTCACCCAGGCTGGAGTGCAATGACGTGATTTCGGCTCACTGCAACCTCTCCCTGCCAGGTTCAAGCAATTCTCCTGCCTCAGCCTCCCGAGTAACTGGGACTGCAGGTGGCTAATTTTTTTGTTTGTTTGTTTTTGTATTTTTAATAGAAATAGAGTTTCGCCATGCTGGCCAGGCTGGTCTCGAACTCGTGACCTCACGATTGCCTGCCTTGGTCTCCCAAAGTGCTGGGATTACAGGCATGAACCACCGTGCCCAGCTGATCAATCACATAGTCTTAAAGGTGTTTTTAAGAAAGAGAAAGGGCCAGGCGCAGTGGCTTATGCCTGTGAGGCCAAGGTAGGAGGATCACTTGAGTTCAGGAGTTAAGACCAGCCTGGGCAACATAGCCAGACTTCATCTCTACTATATGGAAAAAAAATGTATATATATATATATATATATATATATATATATATATATATATATACACACACACACATACATATATATATACACACACATATATACATAAAATATATACATATACATATATACATAAAATGTATACATATATATGTATATATATATTTTTAGAGGCTGGGTATGGTGGCTCATGCCTGTAATCCCAGACTTTGGGAGGCTCAGGAAGGCAGATGACCTGAGGTCAGGAGTTCAAGACCAGCCTAACTAACACAGAGAAACCCCATCTCTACTAAAAATACAAAATTAGCCAGGTGTGGTGGCGCATGCCTGTAATCCCAGCTACTCAGGAGGCTGACACAGAAGAATCGCTTGAACCCAGGAGGCAGATGTTGAGGTGAGCCAAGATCACGCCATTGCACTCCAGCCTGGGCAATAAGAGCAAAACTCCATTCAAAGCATAAAATAAAATTAGCTAGGCATTGTAGCATTCACCTGTAGTCCCAGCTACGTGGGAGGCTGAGTGGGGAGGATTCCCCTGAGCTTGGGAAGAGATCACACCACTGCATTCCAGCCTGGCCAACAGAGTGAGATCCTGTCTGAAAAGAAAAAAAAAAAAGGAAGATAAGAACCTTTGGTTGAATTTCTCAGAACTGAAGACTGTATTCACAGAACACATGGGAATTTTCAGACTTATAAAAGAAAGAAAGATGCTATAAGATGGCATAACATTAAGAACAAGAATTATATTGTGTATGTGATTATACATCCATAAAGCTGTTTAAAAGAGAATTATGATGTCATAACTCCACTTGAATTGGGGGAATAGAGATTCCAACAATCTCCAAGCAGAAAGCCCTGAGAGAGGGTAGCGAGATCGAGCCAGCAAGTCTAACCCCAAAGCCAGCCTCCTGTAAGGCAAGAAGTGATCTGGGGCAGGAGGCGACTCAAGTTATCACACAGGCAGCTGTTGTTTAGAGTGGTGGATTGGCTGCTCCTGAGGGAGCTGGCTGCCTCTTCTGCAGTCTCAGCCACCATGACACCTAGCACAAAGCGCTTACTAAGTGTTTGTTGAATGGTCTGGGGCAGATGTGACCCCAAGCCTTTCCATATGCCTGCCCCAGCCCCTCTGCTGTCTGCACCCCAGCCTTTACCCTCTTGCATGGGGAAATGTATGCTGTGCGCTGCTGTTTACTGAATCTATTCAATCAATATTGAGTCCTGGCCCTACGCAAAGCCCTGTGGGAGGGGCTGCAGGAGAAATACAGGGAAGCCAGACATTGCTCCAGTCTTGGAGAATCTCACAATTTCATAATAATTTAAAAAACAATGTGGTGGCCAGGCATGGTGGCTCACGCCTGTAATCCCAACACTTTGGGAGGCCAAGGCTGGCGGATCACCTGAGGTCGGGAGTTCAATACCAGCCTGACCAACATAGAGAAACTCCGTCTCTACTAAAAAATACAAAATTAGCTGGGCATGGTGGCACATGCCAGTAATCCCAGCTACTCGGGAGGCTAAGGCGGGAGAAACACTTAAACCTGGGAGATGGAGGTTGCGGTGAGCCAAGATCGTGCCATTGCACTCCAACCTGGGCAACAAGAGGGAAACTCCATCTCAAAAAAAAAAAAAAAATGCAGTAATGCTCAAAAATACCTCAGGTAGAGTATAAGTAAAGTGCTCTGGCCTTCAGAGGCTTGAGAGAACACAACTGTAGAGTGGGGAAGAATCAGGGAAGGCATCACAGAAGAGGTGGGGTTTTTTTACTTTTATTTTTTTGAGACAGGGTCTTGCTCTGTTCCCCAGGCTGGAGTGCAGTGGTACAATCATGGCTCACTGCCTCTTCAACCTCCCAGGCTCAAGCGATCTTCTCACTTCAGCCTCCTGAGTAGCTGGGACTACAAGCATATACCACCAGGCCCAGCTAGTTATTTGCGTTTTTTTCGTTTTTTTTTTGAGACGGAGTTGCGCTCTTGTTACCCAGGCTGGAGTGCAATGGCACAATCTCGGCTCACCGCAACCTCCGCCTCCTGGGTTCAGGCAATTCTCCTGCCTCAGCCTCCTGAGTAGCTGGGATTACAGGCACGCGCCACCATGCCCAGCTAATTTTTTGTATTTTTAGTAGAGACGGGGTTTCACCATGTTGATCAGGATGGTCTTGATCTGTTGACCTCGTGATCCACCTGCCTCGGCCTCCCGAAGTGCTGGGATTACAGGCGTGAGCCACCGTGCCCGGCCTTTTTTTTTTTTTTTTTTTTTTTTAATTGAGGCAGGGTTTCACCATGTTGCCCAGGCTGGTCTTGAACTCCTGGGCTCAAGTGGTTCTCCCACATTGGCCTTCCAAAGTGCTGGGATTACAGGCAAGAGCCACTGTGCCTGGCCAAGGTGGAATTTGATCTGAGCCTTGAAGGATGGAAAGCATGTCCAGGGCACAGATCCGAGGGGTCCTTCTCTCTTCCTTTTTTTTTTTTTTTTTTTTTTGGGGGATGGAATTTTGTTCTTGTTGCCCAGGCTGGAGTGCAATGGCTCGATGTTGGCTCACTGCAACCTCTGCCTCCCGGGATCAAGCGATTCTCCTGCCTCAGCTTCCTAAGTAGCTGGATTACAGGCGCCTGGCTAATTTTTTGTATTTTTAGTAGAGACGGGGTTTCTCCATGTTGGTCAGGCTGGTCTCAAACTCCTGACCTCAGGTGATCTGTTCACCTCGGCCTCCCAAAGTGCTGGGATTATAGGCATGAGCCACTGTGCCTGGCCCCTTCTCTTTTCTTTACCAATGTCTACAGACTTCTGCCCATGGCTGTATCTACACATGGACAGAGCTAGCAATGACCTTCCCAGTGGAGATGATCGGAAGCCTCTTCTGTCACGAATGGGCCATATTGTTCCCAAATTCCTCTCCTCTCCGGAAGTCTGACATCTGAAATTTCATGAGTGCTTCCTCTCTTGGACTTCAGGTTTTGATCCCTTGGGGTTTGTAATCCAGAAGGGAAGCAAACACTTGGCAGTTACCAAGCACTTGTCCCGCAACATCAGTGATTACCGCAGATTCCCTCTTATAGCAGGTTTTGTTAGGATGAGGGGAAAAAGCGTGAGAGCAGTGTACACCTGGTCAAGGAGGGAGAGGCACCACCCAGTGGGAGAACAGGAGCACGGAAGGAAGGGAGGAGTGGCTGGGGGCTCTCTCAACTTCCCCATCTCACTGCAGTACTGGGCCAGGCCATGCATGTCTACACGGACTTATGCTTGCCCACTCTCCAGCCCTCCTCCCTCCTTTTCCCTTTCTCTTTCTTTCTTTAACTCTTCTCCTGCTACCTTTTCTCTACCCTTCTTCCAAACAAGGGAGAATCTCAAAGACATTGCATGGTGTCTGTTCTGTCCCACCACATTGCCTGGGGCCAGAAGATTGGGAAGGGAAGTGCAGGCCGGCAGTCCTAAGCTTCTGTGTTGTTGTCCTGGCTCTGCCCCAGCTGAAATGCGTATTGGTGACCAGACAGACACTCAGCTTTGTCTGTCTGGGCCTCAGTTTCCCTTACTTATAGAGTGAGTGTAACTGTGCCTCCACCACCCCTCCACTCAATTGACTATGGAGGAAAGAGCACAAGACTTGTTCTCTTTACTATCTGTGGCAGCCTAGATAAGTCACTCAATCTCCTTAGACTTATGTTTTCCATATGTAAAATGCAGATAATAATACCCACAAGTTTTTACAAGGGTCAAGTCAGATAGCCTGTGCTCAAGTGCTCAGCTAGCTCCAGGCCTGGCACAAAGCAGGTATTTAGTATAAGTTAACTGGAAGGTTCGTTGCAAAAATTAGGAATCACAAGTGTGCATGTTGCACGTGTCACGTGTTCCACTGCATGCACAGGGTCAGGTATGAAGCAGACGTCAGTCAATATGCACAGGCTGTGGAGGAGTCAGGAGTGATTACATTAGCTCAGCTGTGTGCTGGCTAACGTCTCCTTTTTTAAGGCAGTAGACAAGAAATCGTGTGTAAATATGCTTATCCCCAAAAGGCGTGTGATGTGTGCGGTGAAAGTGAGCTGGGGGTCCCCCGGGGGTCCCCCGCCCCGCCCCCAAGCTGGCTGGGCGCTCTAAGACAAGTCTCTTCCTCCTGCTGCAGTTTGGGGAGCATCCTGCAGAAGGCGCTCTCCCATCATCTCAGCCTC